TGGACACAATTAAGGGCTATAATTACATGAGCTGGGTCGTGTTACTATTTTTATCTTCCATAATTTAATAAATGCATCACTGAAGTATTTTCCTCTTAAAGAAATGCAAACCCTATGAATGGCAGATGATTACCAGGAACAGATCTATTTCCCTATCAATAATATTACTCTAATGTTACTACTCAATTTCCCTCACAAGAAGCACTTGGTCAATTGTAATAGGTTCTAACTATGAAGCAGATAGCCTTAAGATGCATCTTTTCTCTCATTTCCCTGTGGCTCTACTTATCCTCTGAGCTACAGAAAGCAAATGTACATTAAGACTTGTCAATTATCTTGGTTCTAGTGCTCAGGTTATAGATGGCAATCCACCAGTGCTGTTAACATTTTAACTTACTTGATTACGCTGAATGAAAAGTTCCCCTTACCAATCCTCAGGTAGCAGTTACTAGGTTGATACCCAGTTGAACTTCTTGACTCACAACAAAAGGCCATAATACCCACATCATCTCTAGGAAGCCCATGCTAATTCCTGACTTCACTCTGTATGAGAGGGTTATCATAATTGCGTTTACAACTCAGACATTTGAGAAATAGAAATACTGGACCATAGTATATGAACTTGAGACATCTGGATACGTGAGAAGTCACTGATTTTGTATCATTTGCTGTGAGATATTTTTTTCACCCATGTGAATTGAAATGCTGGCCATCACACAATACGGCTTCACTGGGTTAGGCACACAAATCCCAAAGACTTAAGAGAACTTATGGGAACCAACTGCCAATAGCCAAGCCAGACAGAAACACTCTTAGAGATGCAATCAAGCATTCTTTCAAACAGTGTGGGAGAAGAGCAAGAAGCTTCTGCAGAACATCTTGGAATGTAGTAATGGGGAATGTGGTGACATCTTGAAAAAAAGGACTTAGCCAACCACAGGCCCCAAAAGGCAATAATTATAAACAATGACAACCTCTGGGAACAAGTCACAGCCACAAATTCAAGTTCTCTCTTCAAAGAGCTTCATTTTAAGCTTCAGATCCCCAAATAATTGCCATGATTAGCATACCTTTGGATATAAAAGCAAGCTTTTTTTCTAACATATGATATAGACCATTATTTAAAAATATATACATATAGGGTGTCCCAAAAAATATATACACACTTTGAATAATTATTAAGTCAGGTTTATTAAAACACATTTCACTTTTAAAATGTAATAGAAATCAGTTCTTAAAGCGGGCATACATTTTTTTGGAGACACCCTGAATATTGGTTCTTCACAGTATTTGTGGGCCGTTTGTACAAGCACACACGAATCTTTTTTTTTTTTTAATCTTTTAAATGAAATCCCTAGAGAAGGTTCTTGCATTGACCCTATTGGAAAAGCCTGAGAGATTTGGGGAACATGGTTAAGAAATGAGCGCTGTTGTGTACAAAGAGTATGGTTGGACTTTTCATATCACACTCTATATTTTTCTTCTCTCTCTCTCTTTTTTTGTCAGAACTGAGCAAGTCCCCTTAATGATGTTACAAGGGAAACGGGGTGCTTTACACAAAGTACAACTTGTAGCGGGAAAATGCATTCACCTTGTGTTTATGGCCAAGGCCAAGGGTCAAAATGAAAATCATGTCCGGTGTGAACTGAAATAATCAAGAGGTTGCATGTGCAGTGCATTTTTATGTTTTCTGGAAGTTTGTTCTAAGACAAAGAACATGTTTATTAACAGTTCTGTCTTTTCAGGGGACTAAAGAAGGGCTTAAAGACAATGATGAGATTTGTGTCTATCAAGGGAAACACTGAATTTGCCTTCTCGACATCCGTTCTAGTATGTCTTTGCTGAACAAGCAACAAGTTGGTGGTAGCTATTACCCTGAGTGGCTTCCAGATGTTAGCCATGTGACTGAGCAGAACTAGTCCCTGACAAGAGTGGCAAGAGAGAGCAATTGTTAGTATATTCAGCGATTTTAATAACCATGAAATACTCTTTCTCGTCTATCAACTCCACCTGCACAATGTAAAAAAAAAAAACAACCAACCAAAAACCTACATAAATAGCAATTTTTTTAATGGGAAAAGGGAAGATTTAAATCTATATAACATATGTGAATCCACTCTTTTTAAAAAAAATAAAAAAAGAAATAACTAAGCTAATGTAAGCTGGTTACTATTTATTTTCTAATGTTTTAATTTTTTAGATTTTAAATTTTATGTCTACGCTGGATAGAAAGGAATAAACATTCTTATAGTCTATGTTAAGATAGTAAAAGCCCTTTTAATGTTTTACATAGTTTAGGTAAAAACTGTCATTAAATTGTTTTCAGCCTGAGTTGAACATTAGTGCATTTTTTTGTGAAGTAAAATAAATAATTCATAGTTTTGCAAGTAAAGGTATGTACTTTTTCTGGCTTTCTTGAAATTATATTTCAAGTGCCAACATACTTCATGGGTGGCATTCCTCACTGAGAAGCAAGACAGGAATCGATATTTTTACTACAGTCAACCCACTTGTCTTCGTAAACAAGATATTGTTAATGTTTTTCCACTTAGACTTCAATGTTAGCAAGAAGAATACGTAAATTGTTAGAAGAGAGAAATAAATTACACAGTTTTTTAAAGATCATCATTGGTACAAACTGAAGAAGTTGAAATAGTCAATTGTGGTTCCAAAAGCTGAGGTTTCATGTGTTTTAAAAAATGTAAATTATTCAGTAGATGGTTTGTTCATCTCTTGTACTTTTCCTATTGACACAGGTGTAGTTAGTGATATTTCTGAACATCTTTTGTCTATTATGCATCCTATAATGACCATGTAAATATAAACTAGTGGGAAACATGGGAGAAAATTTACGTGAAAATTATCTTCACACACACACACACACACACACACACACATCTGCAGTCTGCTTTCTAGTAAGAGAATACTTACTAAGGATTAAGCACAGTGGCAACATTAAAGAAAAACTCTTTATTTTTTGTTTATTGTTTTAGGCCCATTGTATGAGAGTGGGGAATGGGAAAGACAGAAAAATAAATGATCAAATGTACAAATGTTGCAGAGCAGATATAAAGGGCATTTGAGCCCAGAACAGGGAAATCTTTAAGATCCCAAGAACGGAGGCAATGGCTATGTTAAAGTTTATAATCTCACATAACCATTCCTTTCTAAAGCATTTAGTTATGTTTTATATGAATTCAGGACCTTTAAGTTTTTTCCTAGTCGGTTTTCACAAATGGACAAGGGGAATGTATAATAAAACTTACATTGTGTCAATTTATAAAATTTTTAAAAATCTAATGCTGGGCATTTTACCCAATGTATACCTATTGTTTATGTACTGTCCATGTGTTTCTCTGTCCCTTTGAATAATGCTAAAAACCAGATAAAAACCAATGGCCTGGCCGGCGTGGCTCAGTGGTTGAGCATTGACCTAGGAACCACAAAGTCACAGATTGATCCCCAGTCAGGGCACATGCCAGGGTTGCAGGCTGGATCCCCACTAGGGGGCGTGCAGGAGGCAGCCAATTGTTGATTCTTTCTCCTCATTGATGTTTCTATTTCTCTCTCCCTCTCCTTTCCTCTCTGAAATCAATAAATATATATATATTTCTTTTTTTTAAAAAAACAACCAATGGAGAGGATACAATTGGATGCTCAAAAATGAGTAAAACAACTAATGGATAACTGTGCAATGTCTGCATGACTAACGTGATTTCATTTAACTGCAATCATTTGAAAATACGAAACATTTGCTATCTAAGTGGCTAATATTTCAATAACTTTTTTAAGCCAACAAGTGTGCCCTAAAGGATCTCTAAACACAGAGTGTAACAGCAGACTAAACTCTGACCCTGACATTTATATGTTTAGATCCCAACAGATATTGAAACTTTGCAAAAAGGGAGACTTTTCTGTTTTGTTTTTATTTTGTTTACTTGATTCTCTGAGTTTAGACATTCAAGTTAGCAAAAAGAAGTGCATCCATAATGGGCACACAGACTGGCTGAAAGCAAATGAGCAACAACAAAATCATTAAAAGATACACAAAGAATAAAAGAATGTACCAATAAAAACCTTCCAGGGATAATTTCCCCCCCAAGTTCAACAGGGCAAAAGATCCACCATAAAAGAAGCAAACAACCATCCTGAAACTTAATTACATTTCAAAGTACTGCAGTCACATGAAAGGAACAAAACATTTTTGTTCGATAGTTTGCCTACCAGATGGCATTTCTAAATATAGTCATCTAAAACCTTCTGTTTGTTCTATAAATAAAGATGAAAGGAATAGCAACAATAGCTAAGCATTTAAATCACTGGAAATAAAAGAGCACTTTGATTAGTTTGGAAGAATCTGGCTTGATGCTAATAATGATCCTGAATCTGGGAAGGCTCAAGTTCAAGGTGAAACTCAGAATCCCAGCCTTCAGGTACTGCTCAAACAGGTGGTCACGGTGATGGAGGAGTAAACCAGGAACTAACACCAGGAGAACTGGGGACATCTGAAGAAACACGGGAACTCCTAATCGACAGAGATTCTAAAGGGCCACAGTCCAAATTCCAGAAGCTTCGTTTTGTTTTTGTGTTTAAATAACATAGTTGGGACGTGTCTTGTCTTATTTTTGTGAGCTAATGTGTAAATGTGGGTACCAGTGAAGGACCTGAAGTCTGGAGTCAGATAGGCCCTACGTGTGGAGTCCAGACTCTACAAAGGACCAGTAGGATGACCCTCAGTCAAGTTCTTTATCTCTCTGAGCCTCACTGGCAAAAACAGATAGTAATAGTTCAGAGTTTTATGGGATTTTACTTAAAGTGCTTCTTGGCACCTCGAATATGCAATGAATGTCAGTTGCTTATTATTATTACCAGCAATCATAATAAACACAGCTGTGAGGGAATTTGTTTCTGATTTTTTGCTGTCTCAAAGGCATGGAGTCATGCACAGCAAGGTTTTCCAGCAGGAAACAGGGTTCTAAGAGTAGAACTTAAAGCCTTACCTGGCCTGTCTCCACGTGGCCTGAGTACAGCACTACCCTCTTCTCACCTGGCTGTTGGAGGTTAACGAGATTCACCTGGGGAAGGCGGGTCTAGAGAGAGAAGAATTGTTGTGAGAATTCATCATCAGCGCTCAACCCAACCCATCCTGTCCTCCTTAATGACTTCACTCTCAAGATCTGTAGGTTTTAGTGAAAGGACTCCAAAAGCTCCTTTTTGAGCTGGGTATCAAATGGCATGTTCATTCCCATCCACAGCATTGGTATTGTAGTGGGATAGGATAGAGCTTATCTTGGCAAACCCACCCAGGATGATAAGCAGTTCAGCCGCTTG